GCATGATAAGGTCACCTTTTTATTTCAAAGGGACAAGCCATATATATTGGAGCTTCTTTAGTACCATGTATGCCCCTTTCGAATAAATCCACTTTCAAAATAATTCTAAGTGTGAAGTTTCTTTTTTTGTTCAGTATTCATGTTTTCTAAATTTTGGAAATATTTCCTTTGGCTTCCAATCCCACCATATTTTGATGAGGAGCATCATTGGTTCGGAGGATCCAAATGAACTATTCCCAACTTACAGCTTTCGATAAATGCAGCTGTTTGATCACTCTACCACCTGCTGCTATGTTATGTAGATGTGTCGTGTAGATGTGTAAAGTAAAAGACTGCCTACCTTTTCTGCCGACTTCAGTTTCCAGTCTGTTCTCAGTCCACAATGAAACAGTCACAAAATTTGTCCACAATGTGTCCACAATTTGTCCAATCCAAATGAATCTTGAGTTCCTGGTGAAAGTTCAGACACTATCTTCAAATCACAAGAAAGCATCTTTCCCAATGAAACTGACACTCTTTCCATGACCTCAGTCAGTGCGTGTGTCGCCCAACAGTGGTATGAAACAGCAACCCGAGCACCTGAAAAATGCAACAAGCTATGGTTATTGGTTATGCAGATATGGTAAAGTTTTGTTTAGCATCACAGTATAGGAAGGTTTGGAGCAAATAATGAATAAGGTGCTGTTTGACCAACATCTAATTTCTGAAAAGAACATTTTACAGAAAAAAAAGAAATCATAAAAAATGATAAGAAAATATAAAGAAATGGAGCCCAGAAACTTTCTTCCTTTCAGCCCAAAACTGTGGTAATCTGGACTTGCCACATATTCTAGACTTGCATGGGCTATTCTGATTGGACTTTATTTTTTCTGGGGTCTGTTATGACTATTTTACTGATCGTGATGGAACATTTTCAAAGCACATTTTATGAACTCAAAATTATCAGATAGGTAAACAATAATAAACTATTACTGATTGAAACTTTATACATATATGAACAATTCGGAAGTGGCGATAACTGAGTTAGTTGTTGGGAAAGCAACAATAAAAGCATACAAAAGTGTTAACAGCAAAGCTTTCACTACTGAGATGGCCAAACTGATGTTAAGTACAAGGAGCGTCAAAGCAAATTATCCTGCATTTGGAACAAGATCAAATTCTTGTAAATGTGATACCAAGTTTCGCTATCTAAGAATGTGCTATCTTAATAGGCAAGTAGAAAGTAATCATAAACATGTGTAAGTTTGTTTGTCACATCAGTCACAATGATAAACAACTGAATTATTATCAAAGGAGCATTTTCTTAACTTTGGTGGGGAGGTTGATTTTTCTGAGTGATTAAGTTAAATGTTAACTGACACACATGCCTGACAGAAAAATATGACTTTTGCAGATTTACATGTACAACTGGTATATTCATTTTTATAATACAAAGCACTGTACATCACAATGTATTAATTACCATTACACTATGAGGAAAGAATCTGATTGTGTTCAGGGTCTAAAACATAAGAAAACTTGACTTGTGTGGCTTGAAAACTGAAAGAGTAATTCTAAAAAATTATTACTGATCACATTGTGGGTGAAAAAAAGTCTTCAAAATGATTTTTTTTTTGTTTCAGAAGGTTTCAGTTGGTTCCAGGTTGGGAGATCCATAGACCTGTATGTAATTTACCAGCAGACATGTAATTGGGGTCCTTAGTTGTATACTAAGGACACCAATTACATTTCTGCTGGGAAATTACATCAACTGATCTCAAACACCCTACCAGGATGAAGATGTGCTAAGCATGAATAATCTTGTTTAATATCTCAATCAATTCTAAATAGGTTTCTTTCAATAGACCCACATCCAAATTCAGATTATCTCATTAAGAATGCATCAAGAAACTTAATCTGTTTCGAAAATCACTATATCACCATTGTCAAAAAGGAAAGTGAATTTTAATAACAGGTGTATGGGAAATATTCACATGCATGTTGTTTTGTAATATCAGTGATTTTGACTTAGTTTATATATTTAGATACCTATTTTTAAAACTTGTGAAGAGGCTACTTTTGATTTTTGTTTTGTCAGTATTATAGTATCAAATCATTCATATGCATCCATTTAAGAATTATATCATATAGTCAAAGTTATGTTGGTAACAATATTTTACGACTAAATGAATGAAAGGTTTGGAACTTGGTGGTTTCAGACCAAAGACCTTACACAAGCAGGTCAGATGAGGACAATTACATCCTACTACAGAGCCAGGACTACATTTCTTCATTCCTTTGACAAATTTTTTTATGACATTTAAAATTGAACAAAAAATGTCTTCCTTCTACAAAATATGAAAATGTGACAAGCATTTGGCTTTCAGTTTGATGTCATGACATTTTACCCTTTTCTTGGACTATTAATCTCGATTTAACTGTTAATGTTTCAGATGAGTACTATTTAATCCAATTTATTATAATTCTACAAGTTTACTCTATTTAATTGATGCTTACATGGTCATAGTTCAACAAATTGATTCAGTAATAAATTCAAATATTTCTGCAATTGAATGATACAACGGATTAACGGATTTCCACCATTACAATTTACATTCTTAATCTTGTCACTCAGTAAAGGAGAGGTTAAGTTCCATCCGCCACACCCTTGAAAAGACATTTCACAAAGGTTATTTCTATCAGGTTATTTCGTGTTCAAGGATACCGTTACAGTTTACTGAAAGTGCCGATGTTTTCGACACATGGGGGGCAAAACGCGTGGTGGCGCAACAGGGGCGGATCCAGAGGGGGTGCCCCCAAAAAAAAAAACCCCACCCAAAAACCAAAAAAACACCCAAAAACAAACCAAACCCCAAACAAAACCCAACTATTTTCCCTTAGGAGCATTTCCCCACCTAACACTCAGACTTCATAATTTATGTGCACCCCCTTCTCCAAAATCCTGGGTCCGCCAATGCGCAAAACAACGACGCGTGACATGAACAGTACGATATCAGTTTCCGTGAAAACGGTAAAACTTAGTGGCAAAATCTGCAATCCGGAACAATCCATCAATGCTCCAAAAACACGCCGTTTAGCAACTACGAATTCATCTCCTGCATGCAAAATTAGGAAGTAACTGGGCGAAAGGTTTCGGATATTATTTGAAACACTTCCGCTCATATTCAACCACCACGGGTTCTGTTCTGTATCGATTTACGTTTAAAACAGTCCTATCCAGGCTACTTATTTTTTACGTTTAAAACAGTCCTATCCATTGCCGCTAAATATTTTCAATTTAATATATTTTTTAGGGGATGCGGACAAAGTTCTACCAACAGGTGACCAAAGGCTGAAATTAATAGAATGACCATGACATATTTTAAAATTCTACGTGAATGTTTGATACGTGTAATAAAAACCTAATCCTAAACCCTATCCCCGCGAAATAGACCTAATAAATAGAACACATTTCTAGCAAGGGTTACTGGCGGAACTTACAATCTTTTGAATTATCATTCATAAAACATTTTTCATCCTTTTCTCCACGTGGTTAGTTACATTCATACATCTTACAAGAACGAATACTGAGTTTGTTATTAACAGGTTTCCCCCCATTGCGTTCCTAGCCGTCAATGGCGTCATACAAAGTTCATACAAAGTGCATTGAAAACGTTCCACGTAAGCAGTACTGCTCAACATTAGTGTTTTAATAATGTAGTTATTAAAAAAAGAGTACATATTTTCACACCTCACAATGATTGTGATACCATTTACCATCTGAAACAAATAACAGGCCATCGTATGAAATTTAAACATTCATTAAAATAATTGTGATTTCCTACCTTTATCCGCTGATATCAATTGTCCGTTTCCAGTCCATTAAAGATACACTCGCACAAAATTTGTTCAAAACCATTGTGCTGAATCCAAATGTAACTGTTGCTCCTCGCGCAAGTTCAAACACTGAATGGTTGATCCACAACAACACTTGTGCGATGAAATGACGTCTGCTCTTGTCGTCAGCGCGCGCTGATGTCGTCTGCCAAAAAAGTGTCAATCACATCAGAATGCACGTGAAAATCGAGAGTTGAATTTAGAACAATGTTCGTTGTATCGGGAACACGTTCGCGTGTTGCGTGGCTGCAAGTGTTTTGTCATTACTTGATAATGAAAGGTTCAGGGGTTATGATATCACATTAAATTAATCGATGTGACAAACATGAACACTTTTTTTATAATTAATATAAAACTACATTCACTAACGCAAGTTAACACATATCATACCATAACAACGGTAAAGACTAATAAACATGTTTACAATGTTGCTTATTTTTTGTCTAAACGTTTTCGTCTTATCCTGAGGCATCATCTTGCACACTGTGAATTAAGACGTTAAATATAAATACGCTATGTAATACTTATTTCTTAAAATAAAACAAAACACACACACAAAGAATTTCAGATGAGTGGTGGGGTAAGCCTGCATCTTGTTTATGCCTTCTCTCGTCACGAGGAAGACTCGCTTTCCATTCCCCATGGGAGCAGTGGGGCAGCCTAGTGGTGAAAGCGTTCGCTCGCCACGCTGAAGACCCGGGTTCGATCACCTACATGGGTACAATGTATGAAGCTCATTACTGTTGTCCCTCCAACCCGTGGTATTGCTGAAATATTGCTTAAAGCGGCGTTAAACTAAACTCACTCACTCAGTCTGTTCCCCCACATGGGCGCAGCCGGTTTCTGCTGTCCCCCGTCTGGATAGTGCTGTTGATCCAGACTCACTCGTTTAGTTGGTGTGGTAAAATCGTTCCCTCCTCACGGCGAAGACCCGGGTTCGATTCCCAACAATGTGTGTCCCCCCGCCGTGAAACAGTATTTGTTGATCCTTTCAGGAAGCATATTCGATTATTTTCAAAAAGGGTGATCTTGATATGAATAATTGTGTAAATGTTGAGAGGGTAGTATCCCCACAGTTGACGTGCATGAATAGAATAACGTTATTGTACTGTTTCTATTTTCAGATGCTCTTCGGTTCCTGATTTTGATGAACACTGCAACATCATGTAATAAAGTAACAAATATTCTGTCTCGACTAGTTTTTATTCAAAATACAAGTTAACGAAGTATTCCTTCTGGTCGCTGCGACATTTGGTCTGAAACAGGAGGTGGAGAAGCCTTTGATTCCTGACAACTGCTTCAGTGATGTTCGTTTGTCAATGAACTTTTGACAGGGACAACATGCCTTGCTGTAGAGGTGATTTATACATACATACCTGGTGAGACGATGAATGGCTGCTTCTCGATTCGGGCGGAACTCATCAAGGGAATACATACAACTGCAATGACCACAAACTATGCATTAGTGAAAATTTACGTTTCGGATCAAACGGTGTACTCGCTAGTGTAAATATAGCTTCAGGCAATTAGGGGGCGGTGGGGTAGCCTAGTGGTTAAGGCGTTCGCTCGTCACGCCGAAGACCCGGGTTCGATTCCCCACATGGGTACAATGTGTTAAGCCCATTTCTGGTGTCCCCCGCCGTGATATTATATGCTAAAAGCGGCGTAAAACCAAACTCACTCACTCACTCAGGCAATTAAATTTTGCACGACATTTGCACATGCTTTTTCAGCAATCAATCGTCGATGTAACATACAGTGAGTTCGAATCCGCTCTGCTGCATACTACCTTAAACCAATCCTAACACTACAACACCAATGACAAGCGGGGGTTACGGGCGGAAGTCTTACCTTAACCTCTTTGGTCATGTGCACAAGGCGTCCGACTTCGGATCATCAGGTCTGTGGTTCGAATCCCAGCACGGGACCCGGGAATTTTATACAGCGACTAAAACATGAATACAAAGGACCAGCATTTAAAAGTGAATGGTACTTTTGCAACCCAATATGGTCACTAGCGCTTGTAGCCATCACCCAAGTCGCATACAACTATTAACACGGGAAAACTGGACAAAGCAGGGACTTACAGGACGCGAATTCCTGCGTCCTATATGCATACAAATTGACAATGGACGCAACAAAATATATTTTGTAAAAATTCCAATCAAGTGACAATTAGGTATCACTGAGATTGCTACTAGCTGGATTGATATTTGCAATTTAATTACTGTAAGAATGTGATGATCATGATATACAATAACAGTATTAATAATAATTTTGGTGACCAGGAACCTCAAACACAGGACTCCATATAAATCCCTGACAAAGTGTTACCAATATATTATTACAATATGTGAAAAGTGGAAATATTAGACTGACCGCGTCCTCAATCTTAAACCTGTCAAGGGTCACATAATCCTGCACCAGTATCTCTTAAGCTAACAGAACCAAGGTTCAGTACGTTTATCTGTATTGTATGTGTATATCCCATGCTAAAATCCCGTCCCACAAATACCTTCGTGGCATACTCGCGACTCGCCAACGGTGATTTGGTCCAACTAAATGACAATCTCAAGTTCACAATAACAACGTTATTGTAAGTTTTATCTGTAAACAAGGGCGGTGGGGTAGCCTAGTGGTTAAGGCGTTCGCTCGTCACGCCGAAGGCCCGGGTTCGATTCCCCACATGGGCACAATGTGTGAAGCCCATTTCTGGTCCCACGTCGTGATATTGCTGGAATATTGCTAAAAGCGGCGTAAAAACTAAACTCACTCACTCACTTTATCTGTAAACGCGATTATATGCGATAGCGAGAATAGCGATATAATACGGATGACAGTCACAAATTAGGGAGTGGCTGTCAAGTAAATTCACTTTATGTAACTTTACTTTCTTCTAGTTCGATAAATCTTTACCATTGCTATTCTATGTTAACTTTAATCTTATTGGACATTTCTTTACTATTTGGTACCCGTGGCACTTCCTTCAGGTTGATGTTTAGGATTGTTATTTAATACTGATTAACACTACGCCGTTTTGTGACTATCATAGAATATATAGAGTGTCGCGCATTTTAATTATCGTTTTACGTGTGAATACTATGCTGTTTTGTGACTATTATAGTATGTATAGAGTGTCGGGTATCTAAACTATTGTCCTTCGATATAAACACGATGCTGTCTTGGACTGTTATAAAATGTAGATTGTATGAACGCCCACTGGGGATGATGGGTAGAGAACTGTACTGTGTTCATCGGAATGTGTATCGTGATTAATGTACTATGTGTCGTGTGTAACGACTGACTGACTGAGTTTAGTTTTACGCCGCTTTTAGTCATATTCCAGCAATATCACGGCGGGGGGCACCAGAAATGGGCTTAACACATTGCGCCCATGTGGGGAATCGAACCCGGGTCTTCGGCGTGACGAGCCAACGCTTTAACCACTAGGCTACCCCACCGCCCCCGTGTGTAACGAATCTACATGTGATGTTTATGTACTTTGATATCTGATTGCATTGTGTACATGTTCTAATAATTAATTGTAAATCATTCTATTATTGACTTATTATGTAAAAATCGTTCAGTGACTGCTGTGTAATAAACCCCTTGTTTATTTACTCAGGTGTTGTGTTGTGTGTGTGGGGTGGTGTGTGGTGTGTGTGTGTGTGTGTGTGTGTGTGTTTGGTCCCCAACACTCGCGTTTGAATACTACGTTACTGGTTAGCTTAATTTTACTGTGAATGTTTTGGGAATTAAGTGAAAAACATGAACCAGGGTTTTCGGTTACTTAAAGCTTGAGCAATGATTGACATTTGGGTACGATGACTTCGACCTGTAGCCCCCTCCAAAATTTTGCATCTCTATTGCCTCAATAGAAAACAGGTACTCGTCCAAGGTGGTAATATACATACACATTGTGCTTATGCGCCCTTACTGTGCCCTATCCATTGTCGCTCAATTATAGTATGACCAGATATTATCGAGAATTTTAGGAATATGTTTAATTGGATTTCCAGTATAAACTACATTGACCAGCTATCAAGTGCTTGGTTTCATTCAAGAGAGACAACTCCGTTAATCCCTTTTCATTAGTTCGTGAAAGAGTTATCCCCCTTTGTTTATTTGCTAGCAGACAACATTTTCCGTGATCCTCAGTATGGATGATTTAGAGAAGAGGAAGTTGATTTTAGAGTATTATGTTCTGCTAATATTCGCATTTAATACGCGAGTAATGAGTGAAAAAATTTAAAATTTACAATCTTTTAATTCTCAATAATTTCTTGTTGTACTGTATATAGTTTCGGCGCAGGGATTCGGGACACAAAACAGCCAACCCAAAATCTAGCCAAGCCAAATTTTAACGAGTTCAGTTTCAAACCGCTTTTAGCAATATTGAAAGAGGGGGACACCAGAAATGGGTTTCACACATTGTACCCATGTGGGGAATAGAACGCTGGTCTTCAGTGTGAGGAGCGAGCGCCTTAACAATACTGCTACCCCCCACCGCCCTAGATGTTGAACGAAGGAGAGCAATTGATTAATTTATTAATGAGTTAAGTTTTACGCCGCACTCATGTATTAATATTTGTCGCCTTGTAGGGCTGGCAGTGGAAGCATCTTTACGTTTGAAACTTTTATAGTTTCTTGAATACTGTCGTTCGATGTAATAAGAGAAAACTAAAATCGCAAACCTTACAACTAACATTGACAGAATTCAAGCCGTTAACATAATCAATTCCACATTACTTCTACATTTGAAATTGAATTTCCTTCCACCATACGTTTAACACATGCAACATACCATCAAATAAACAGCTGTGCTCTTTTGAAAGTGTCGCCAACGCTAATCCGGTGTTGCTCCCTCCATTCACATACGATGTGTTCACCTGGGCCCCGTTTCACAGCGCAGCGACTGTCGTACCTCCTATACTGTTGGGATGGTGGGGTAGCCTAGTGGTTAAAGCGTTCGCTCGTCACGCCAAAGACCCGGGTTCGATTCCCCACATCGGTACAATATGTGAAGCCCATTTCTGGTGTCCCCCGCCGTGATATAACTGGAATATGGCTAAAAGCGGCGTAAAACCAAACACACACACTCACTCACTCCTATTCTGTAACATAGACTTAGGACAGTCGTAGCTCTAAGGTAGCTTTGTGAAACCGGGTCCTGATGTCTGTACTGATCTGAACTTGGCCTGAACTTGGCCTTTTCTTTAATTCAGAAAAAAAACTAAACATCCTTTAATAGGAATTACAATTGCCACAAGACAAATATAACAGTAACAAAGTTCACAGGATAAAATCTTTTATTTACAAAAGGTCATCCCTGCCTCACTACGTGATATATTCCACACCACACATAGTGAGTCAGGAGACTACAATCAACAGGAGACGACCAGAGTCACCCACTCGAGAAACATACTTTCTACAAAATAACAGTAAGTCTTCACACAGTTGTCGATACGCATGATGGGAACAACACTTCCAGACATAGGCAACAAGGGCAGCCATGTTACGACGTAAATTGTAATAAAAACGCAAATTGTAATAAAAATTGACGTAAATTGTAATACGCAAATTGTAATAAAAATTGACGTAAATTGTAATAATTTTCGTTGCGGTAAAATGTAATAAATATTTACGTAAATTGTAATAACAGTTTTAATTACTCGTAAATACGCGGGTGTTTGTTTTTCGTTGCATTTCATACATCAAATAAGCTTGTTAGGGCGATAACTCAAGAAAGAAATGATGGATATGGTTCAAATTTGGTACCAAGGTATATTGGCGAGATTCACCGACACAAGTGAAATGGAGTGACCTTGAGATACTTTTCAAGGTCACAGCAAAAATCTGAGGGCGGTTTTGCCAATATAAAGATTGTTAGCGCGATAACCCAAGAAAGAATTGACAAATCTTAGCTAAATGAAGAAAATGATATTCGTCCTGATATATAATCGATATAAGATCTCTTACTGTCCTCTGTATCATGTCTTTTCGCAAATATCTTTTGGGGTTTTGATATGTATAAATATAAAGTGGGGTGGTTTCTAACGGGTATATCAAATCAAATCAAATCAAATTAGACATTTGTATAGCGCTACATATCCAGAGTCCTGCTCATGTGCGCTTAGTCGAATGCTCGTTTGAAGGGGATGGTTTTGCGACAAGATCGGAAACTGTTGATATTTTCCGATTTTCTGACATTTTCAGGTAATCAATTCCAGAGTACAGGACCCGGTCTGCTAAATAATCTGACTCCGTATGTTGTGGTTCGGACAAATGGAATAGCCTAGCTGAATAGCAATGAAATGCATCACAAATTAAACTTCAGGAAACAAAATAAGCAAGAAACATTTTTGTATGTTTGAGATTGGTAGAGGTCGGCTAGAATCAAACTTAGATATTAAACTGCACAAAAGGCAAATTGAAACTACAATCGCTTGTTCAAA